TCTAGTGTTGCATTAGAACTATGGTACTCAAAAAGTCAAATCATTGCGTTTTTGGTAATTCATATGTGTTAAGGCTAATTGTTGGTCGCAATTGATGTGTGATTGATTCACCTTAGGCCAATTGAAATATCCTTTTTTCTAGTGGAGGTGGAAATTGCCTTAATTGCTTGAGGACAAGCAAGAGCTTAAGTTTGGGGGAGTTGATAAGTATGGATTTTGACCGCTTATTTGCTCTCTTTTACTTGAGTTTTAGCTCAAAAATGCTTAAAGGTATTCCCGAAAACTAATGAAATGTGCTTTTGTACAGGAACATTGAGAAACGAGCCAAAAGAGTCAAAATCAACTCATAAAGGAGTCAAAAGTAGACAAGGACCAAAACAAGGCAAAAGGCCCACAGTGCGGACAGCACAATACTGTGTGCGGCTGCAAAACAAAGGAAGAGCCATGTCAGTTCTTCTTCAGAGTATGCAGACCGCACAAATATTGTGCGGCCGCAGAAGAAGAGATTCAGAGAGCTGGTTTTGGGAAAGCGGAAGGAGTGCGGACCGCACCATAATTGTGCGGCTGCAGAATGTCAAGTGCGGCCGCACTTAATATTATGCGGTCCACAGCAGACAAAGATCAGAGAGATGGGACTTCATAGTCAAGTTGGAATGCGGACCGCACTATTTTTGTGCGGCCGCACAATCAGAAGCGCGGCCGCACTCATTTTTATGCGGTCCACAGAAATTCCGAAGTGCCAAGCCCAATATCTAAGAATACGGACCGCACTACAATTGTGCGGCCATAGAAGATCATTTTTGCGGAACGCACACAAAATTATGCGGCCGCACAACCTTCGCAGGGGCATTTTTGTCAGATATTTTCAACTTAGTATAAATAGAACTTTTGTCATTTTTAAGTGAAGTTGGTTGCACCTGAACACTGAGAGCGTTTTTATTTACTGTATTGGGCAACTTTGTATTAGCTTAACATTTAAACATTAGATTTTCTTTCCCTAATTAATTATTATGTATTTTATCTTAATTTCTTCTTGTATTTCTTAATTTTTTATGAGTAGCTAAATTTCTAGCTAGGGTTGTGGCCCAACCCTAGTGTGGGTACTTAATGGGAGTTTGAGTTAGGACTTGTTTGTGATTGGGTTAGTGATATTTAGCCTAGTTCTTGCTTGAATTCAAGGATTAATGGTTGCAAACATTGATTCATGCCTAATTGACTTAGTCTCTACTTGAGAAAGAGAAACTAAGTCTAGGAAAACTTGGCTAACAAGAAATTGGGGTTAACTCAAGAAATTGATAGCCCCAATTAAAGAGTTGAATCTAGAGATAGTAAGACCCGACTTGAGCAGTTATCATTTGTTTTGATAGCCCCAATTAAAGGGTAATTGATAGCCCCAATTAAAGGGTTGATACCCATTTAGACTTGAGAAAGCTAAAGTGGGCAAAAATCACTCAAACTACCGAGGGGTATAGAGTGGATAATTGCGTGTGATTGCTATATTACAACCCCGACCAATCAAACTTGCCCTAGAGATTACAACCCATTAGATAACCACCTAGGTGGAAGTCACGACCCTAGATCTTTTATCATTTGGAAAACAACCAAAACCAAAAATATTGTCTGCTAGTTTTATAATTGCAATCAATAGGTTAAAGTAGGTAGAAATAACAAACAAGAATGTAGAAGTGTAATCTTAGGCATATTATACAATTACACTAAATATATACCTAATCCCAATTCTAACTCCCTATGAAATCGACCCCGACTTGCGTTGGTCTTTTATTTTGCATCGACCGCCTCGCAACCTAAATTAGTGGTGTGAGTTTGGGCGACATCAAATGATCCGCCTGCTGAGATGTTATTTATAGAAGGGGATTTCAATGGACATATTTGGTCGACTGCAGTGGCTATGGCGAGGTGCATGGCGGCTTCGGCTTTGGGGATAGGAATGGAGGAGGTACTTCGTTGTTGTATTTCGCTAAGGCTTTTGAGTTGGTGATTGCGAACTCTATTTTTTCGAAGAGGGAGGAGCGCTTGGTTACTTTCCAAAGTGCAATGGTGAAGACTCAGATTGACTATCTTCTCCTCAGGAGATGTAACAGAGGGTTGTGCAAAGATTTCAAGGTCATCCCGGGTGAGATCCTCGCGACGTAGCATAGGCTCTTAATGATGGACTATTGTATTATGTTAAAGAGGAAGAAAAGGTTGGTATGAGGACGATCGAGGATTAGGTGGGGAGCCTTGACTAAGGATAAAGCGTTGGAGGGGAGGTTAGCGGCTTTGGGAGCCTGGAGTAGTAGCGGGGACGCGAGCGTTATGACGGCGACGACGGTAGACTGTATAAGGGAGGCTGCGAGAGAGGTGTTAGGGATCTCGACGGGATACTATGGCGGGCACAAAGGTGACTAGTGGTGGAATGAATTGGTCTAAGGTAAAGTGGAAGTGAAGATGGCAGCATACCTGGAGTTAGTAGAGAGCACAGGTGAGGAGGAGAGGAGAGCGAGCAGAGAGAGATATAAGGTAGCTAGGAAGGAGGCTAAGTTGGCGGTCACGGAGGCTAAGACTACGGCTTTTGGTCGTCTCTATGAGGAACTGGGGGACAAAGGCGGGGAGAAGAAGTTATTTCAGTTGGCCAAGGCGAGAGAGAGGAAGGCTCGGGATTTGGACCAAGTGAGGTGCATCTAGGACGAGGACGGTATAGTATTGATGGGTGAGGCACAGATTAAGAGGAGATAACAGACTTACTTTCATAAACTTCTGAATGAAGAAGGGGATTGGGATATTGAGCTAGGTGAGTTGTAGAATTCCAAGAGTCATTGTGACTTTAGGTACTGTAGGCGCACCAAGGTTGAGGAGGTCATGGGAGCTATGCGTAAGATGAGTAGGGGCATAGCGACCTAGCCAGACGAAATTCTGGTAGAATTTTGGAGGTGTGTGGGAAGAGCAGGCTTGGAGTGGCTGACTGGGTTGTTTAATATTTTTTTTAGGACGAAGAGGATGCCGGATGATTGGATGTGGAGTACGGTAGTTCCGTTGTATAAGAACAAAGGTGATATCCAGAGTTGTAACAATAATAGGGGTATCAAACTACCGAGCCATATCATGAAAGTTTGGGAGAGGGTGGTAGAAGTGAGGGTAAGGAGGACGGTGTCTATATCCGACAACCAGTTCAGGTTCATGTCGGGTCGTTCTACTACAGAAACTATCCACCTTATTAGGAGGCTGGTGGAGCAGTACAGGGATAGGAAGAAGGATCTACACATGGTGTTTATTGACCTGGAGAAAGCGTATGACAAGGTTCCTAGAGAGGTTCTCGGAGATGCTTGGAGGCAAAAGGTATGTCGGTTGCTTACATTAGGGCGATTAAGGACATGTATGATGGAGCTAAGACTTGGGTTAGGATTATAGGAGGCAACTCGGACCATTTTCCGGTTGTTATAGGGTTACACCAAGGATCTGCGCTCAGTCCATTCTTATTTTCCCTGGTGATGGACGCACTAACACACCATATTCAAGGGGAGGTGCCATAGTATATGTTATTCGCTGATAACATAGTTCTGATTGATGAGACGCGAGGCAGTGTTAACAAAAGGATGGAGGTTTGGAAACATGCCCTTGAGTCTAAGGGATTCAAGCTGAGCAGGACCAAGACGGAATATTTAGAGTGCAAGTTAAGCACTGAGCCGAGGGAAGCGGGCATGGACGTGAAGCTTGAATCACAGGTCATCCCCACTAGAGGCAGTTTCAAGTACCTTGGGTGGATGAAAAGATCGACGAGGATGTCACACACCGTATTGGGGTGGGGTGGATGAAGTGGAGGTTAGCATCTAGTATCCTGTGTGACAAGAAAGTGCGCTCAAAGGTAAGTTTTATAGAGCGGTGGTTAGACCGACCATGGTGTATGGGGCTGAGTGTTGGCCAATTAAGATCTCACATATCCAGAAAATGAAAGTAGCAAAAATGAGGATGTTGAGGTGGATGTGCGAGAACACGAGGATGGATAAGATTAGGAATAATGATATTCGGGAGAAGGTGGGTGTGGCTCCCATTGATGACAAGATGCGGGAAGCGAGGCTCAGATGGTTCAGGCATGTATAGAGGAGAAGCCCAGATGCACCGGTGAGTAGGTGTGAGCGGCTGGCTGGCTTTGAAAGGCACGAGAAGAGGTAGGGGACGGCCTAAGAAGTATTGGGGAGAGGTGATCAGGCAAGACATGGCGCGGCTTCAGATTTCTGAGGACATGGCCCTTGATAGGAAGTTGTAGAGATCGAGTATTAAGGTTGTAGGGTAGGGTCGTAACTATGTGAGGCTAGTCTGATAGGAGTTTTATCTTAGACTGCTAGTTGTTAATGTTGTGTTCTCACTACTCTTTCGTTTTATAGTGTCGGGTCTATTTACTGGTTATTGCCATTATTTTCATCTATTTTCTGTCTTCTATGTTGTTATTATTCCTTTGATTTCTGTTGATCGCACTGATATATTGTTTCTTCTTGTTTTCTTGAGCCGGGGGTCTTTCGGAAACAGCCTCTCTATTTCCTCGGGGTAGGGGTAAGGTCTGCGTACACACTACCCTCCCAAGCCCCACTAGTGAAATTTTATTGGGTCGTTACTATTGTTATTCTTAATCTAAAATTAGGGGAATACCGATTTTTACATTGTATTCACCTAAAGAATGCATCGAGTAATCTTCACATCTCGAATACCACGAATAGCAAAATATTATTCGGCTTAATTTATACTTCATCCGGTCCTCTTTTATTTGTAGGTTATAATTTTAACGCTCATTCAAAAAATCATTTAATAGCATTAGTTAGTTATATGATATATCTAACTAAGCTACCCTTTTCTCTTCCTTTAATGAGTAATTAATGGCCATATACGTAGAGTAGTAAGGATGGAATAAGGAAAAATTAAGTCTTCTTAGTTTTGTAAAGTGACAAATACTTTTGAACCAAATTTTTTCAGCTAAAGTGACAAATAAAAAGGGTCAGAGAGATTAGTTAGTTCAAATACCGACTTGCATCACAAGAAAAGAAATTCAGAATTTGCATCAGAACAAAAATAACACTATTTCTGTTTGTCTAGCTTGTCGAAATAACTTCGCCGGCAATATGGACCAACAGTGTCAATGCCTGATATCAAAAACAGAAGGAAACATTAAAAAAAAAAAAAGGCTCTTCCAATGATTCCCCAGAAATCAAGTTAACCAGGATATTATTAACAAAACAAACAGTAAAAAGCTGTCACCACAAGGTGCAAAAGAAGCTTAAACATTTTGTACTTTTTATTTCGTCGCCATCAGACAAAACAAGAGGCCGTCCAATTAACCCTCCAGTGCTGATGCTCCTGATATGATCTCTATTAGTTCTGTAGTGATTGATGCTTGACGGGTTCTGATTTTTCAAGGAAAAATATATTAATCAGAGACCATTAAACTGACAGACGATAAAAGAAATTAAAACTATACGTGGACTGAGATATAAGTAAATATTAGTTGTAAATTATATGTCAATTGTTTCATGATTTCTGTTAATGATGTATAACCCAGCAGGTTAAGAAACACCAGTATTAGTCGTAACTAATGTTAAGATGGTAATAATGAGTTTGGTGCCACTAAGTTGATGAGTGCCTTGGAAAGTGTTCTCTATAAGAAGCTACTGAAGGTGTTCCATGGAGGAACCAGTTTGTGAGGGGGGGAAAAAGTGTTTCCTGAGAATTTATGTTTCAGTGGTCTCGATCCGATGCTGCAAGTGTGAGTAAAAGTAAGAAAGAGGGAAAGCGGAAAAACCTGTTGTAAGTGAGAGTGAGACGATCAAGCATATCACCAGCATTTCTGCTGGAACTATCCATGGCAGACATTCTTGCTCCTTGCTCACTAGTAGCATTCTCCAGCAATGCATTGAACAAAACCTGGAAAAAACAGTTTATCCATTCAATCCAGATTGGAATAGAAGTCATGATAATCTTTATCTTCAAACTTCAATAAACTCAGTACGTCCATCACAAATAAAGATAGAGACTTATATCTCCCACACTACCAAATCAGTACTAACGCTATGCAAAGTTGTGAAGATCAACTAAGAAGTTGAAAAGTCCATTCAACACTGCAAAGGAAAAACTTACACATGAAAATTGGAACTCGGATAGATTCTGAAGAACTTCAGACTTCGTCTCGGCGCCTTCAACTTCATAAGAATCGAGTTCCCCAAGCTTTCCACCGGATTCAGACTCTCTCTCCACAACCTACATTGCACCAAAAGAGACTTATTCCAAGAAACAGAACTCACAACAAAAGGAAGCTGACAGAACAACAGATCAAATCATCTTATCAACCTCTGGGGAAAGTACAGTAGACATCGTTGGCAAAAATGCGACTACTGACTGGAACTTATTATAAATGATCCTCAGTGCATCAAATTCCACATTCTTCAAGATGTCATCTGCAATGACAGAAACCTGCAAGACTACATTGTCTAAATCGGTAGGAAGGAAAGAGTAGAAAATCAATATAACTAACAGTGCAGATATTCCATAATTACATAAGTATCATTTCAATGAGATCAAATGGTATTGTTATTAAATGTTCATCCTATTCATCGGAATTTTTGAAGTTGCAACAATTCAATTGAAGTGTTCAAATGCTACACAGTAACTAGACAAGAACTTATTATCAGCCAATATTGCAATTTAGATTCACCAATTCACACGGAAAAGAAAGGGGAGTGAAAATAGAGCTTTCATCTGTCGCACCTCTATCATCTTTGTTTGATGTACAACATGACAGAAAGGTAGGAAAAGAAAAGGAAATACAAAATATGTGCTGTTCAGATTAAAAACATCATGATGTCAAAAGATTTCATACTACTCAACCAAAACCAACGAGATTGCATAAAGGTGGCCACCAACTTCAAACATAGTTCGCAACAAAAGAGAAATGCAAAGCAAGCATACAGCAGATTACTTGTGCATATGCAAGATGTAGGATATCATAACCTGTGTGTAGTTAAGAGGATTTTTCTGCAACTCGGTCATGATCAGCTCAATGTCCTTCTTTGAATCTCGCACCAACTGAGCCTTTGCCTTTTCCCCCAAGACAACATATTTATTTTCCTTTTCAGGACCTAGCAATTACATATTAACAACAATTATATCAAGTTCCACAGGCGAAAGATATTTCCACACTAACAATTTTGCGTTTACCAGAATTTAGCTTATGAAAAGCCCTGCTAATCTTGACGGATGTAGAATTAATTCCACCACAAAGACCTTTGTCTGAAGAGATGGTTATGATAACATTCTTCTTCACATCAACACCTGAAGCAACAAATATTAGAACAGCTACCTAGCATTCTGAATAATTATAGAATGCAACACAAAAAATTAATATCAAATTCTCTAAAAGCTAACATCTGACCCAAAAAACAAAGAAAAGTTTAACTAAGTTGACAAGATCACCTTTAACAATGGTAAAGAGTACAATTCAAATAGCTATATCCATTTTTGAGAATCCTCATCCACAAAATGATTTGGGAGCCAGTCAAACCCGTCCAGAAGATGTATGCAAAATTACCATGCATCAAAATAAAACATATGGCCAAATACATAGACGGCCCATCAAAATGAGCTCTAATTTTCATTTTGACACCTCAACCGAGACTATTTCCTATTGAACACTTGATCTAAACTATAAATGTTCCTATTAGACACAAATTGTTGTGGTGGCACAGTGAGTGTAACACAACTTCTTTGAGAGCGTGGAAAGCCAAAAAACAATGGTGTTCGGGCCAACTTTATTTTTCTCCATTTGTACTTAGCTTCCAGTTCTTATTTCATGATTCGAGGGGTATCCTAGCCAGTATTATTTTGGAAATAAACAATCACCCGAAACTTTAAAATAACTTCATCCTCTATACACTCTCCGGCTCCAAGTGAAAATGCATATAACTAGGGCTAGTTTCACCTCTGTATCAATGTTCCTTGGATCCAGAAACCACAACAAAATCAAAAGAACGAATACTATGTATATGTAGACCAATCACTCACTATACAATTAAAGGTACCAAATTTAGCAGTAAGCTGAATTAAGCTTAAAAGGAGCAGGAGCAGCAGATCATAGGATGCATGGAGACTCTACGACCACACTTGAACAAGACTTGTTCTATAGGCTCGTACCACACTCCTTGAGTTCTAGGAAGTATGAGACTCCATAAAGTGATTCATCCCTACCCTTTTCCCTCTTTCTTTTTTAACTACTCCAGGAATCTAGCTAGATGCCAAAAATCTAATTACAACGTACTGGGAGTGTCGCCAAGAAGTGCAGTAAATGGCTGCCATAGTCCGCGTGAATTTTCAGCTCTAGTCTGAATAGCTCTAAGCTTTGAAGCAGCAACCATCTTCATAGCCTTTGTAATCTTCTGGATATTTTTGACACTCTTCATTCGATTTCTGACTGCACAAGGGCATTTTCAGCGTAAAACATAATGTAGAAGAAAACATCAGTAAAGAAGGTTAAGAGAACATAAATGTGATAAACGGAAACAGAGTATATAACAGATTTACAGTTGAATCTTACCAACTTGTGTTGAAATATACCGAACTCCTGATGAGACTGGTTCCCTGCATATAAATCAGGGGTCATATAGAATTGTTTTTTCCGCTGGGGAGAATGAATGACAATTTTTAATAAAGTAAAATGATAGTTAGTTAAGGTGAAGAACATAATCCTATTATAGCTGCATATATAAATCATCTCTATCATCTTGAAACAAAAAGGCGTTTGCAATATACTCCCCCCTGCAAAGCCATCCAGTATCCAGTTACTGATAAAACAGAGATCTCTATTTTCCACTCTATCCAACACAGAAGACTTGCAATTCTCGTGAACCTTTCGCTTTCTACAACAACAACTACTACAGCTCAGCCCCAAGCAAGTTGGGGTCGGCTATATGGCCATATTTCAACCTCTGTTCCAAAAACTTCATAACAATTAGTATCCAAAACCTACCTCAATTATTGAACGTCCTCCCTTCGGCCCAAATGACTATATTCTTAAATCTAAAACAAGTATATCCAATATCCAGTCTCTTGCAATTCTTATATGACAAATATACAGCCAGCTTTACAGCAACTCTTAGTTCAGAAATTTTATACAAGCTTACCAACATAAACCATCATTGCCATTGATTTAAAACAGAGAAGCTGGATTTCCCTTTTAAAAAAAGGTAAAAAAAAATGACAACCAACTTGCTCTACTTTATAATAGATAAATGTGTAAGTTTTGTTAAAAACACCAGCAAAAAAGGGCATGCTGGGGAAATTACAGCCAAAAGGGTGGGGGACCATTACACAAAAGTTGTATAATGAGCTAAGAAAGTCAACAACGGCACCACTATCATTTACATCTAAAGCAGCCCTGTTGCACCAAAGCATGACAAATATATATATTTTACCAACTTATCTCTTCTTTAGACTTATTATGACTTTTGTATGATTTTGCGGAAAAACTAAGCATTTGTTGAGATTTATTGACATATTTCAGGTATTATGTGATTTAGAGATGACATGGAAGAAAACAAGCCAAAATGAGCTAAAATGGAAAATTTGACTACTGCCTGTGATTGCTCTTCGCGATCGCGGAAGGTACAGATAGGATCGCGAACATCCCGGAAAATGACCTTCGTGAACGCAAGGGAAGGTATGCGAACGCGTTGAAGGAAGGTTTGGTCAAAGGATGATCAATTGCCCTTCGCGAACGCGGAGCTATAAATGCGATAGCAGGCCGTTGGAAAGTTGTGAGTCGTGATCGTGGTTCTTCTTTTTCCGAACGTGAAGAAGAATGTTTGGTCAACCTAGTCAAGTACTCTCCGCGAACGCGGAGACTTATGTGCGATAGCAATGCTTTGCAGAAGTTGTTCACCGTGATCGCAGTGCGTGTTTGCGCGATCGTGCAGCTTATTAACTGGGCAGAACTGAAATTTCACGTTTTTGGCTCCCAAACCATTTAATACTCGACCCAGCTCATTTGGGAAGGATCTTTGGCAAAACTTTGGTACTCTTGACTAAAAATACAAGCTTTGGAGCTAGGGTTTCTTGCACCACACTTGGAGATTGAAGATTTGAAGACTTTGGATGAGATTTTCTTACCCTTTTTACTCAATTCTTCAATTCCTTGATTTGTATTGAACATCTAAGTGTGTAGTATTTATTCCATTACTTGAATTTTGTTTATGGGAATATTCATTATTAAAGTTTGGATTAAATCTCTTGTTATGCTTATGTATTGAATGTTTTTTTATTAATCATGGAGTGAGTTATTGTTTCTTTAATTATTCTTGTTCTTTAATAGTTCTTAAGGGATTAGCTAACCCTAGGACTCGCTCATTTACTTCGGTTTAGACTTGGAAAAGGCAAACTCGGGGTTGGGAAAGATTAACTAACAAGAACTTGAGGCGTTAAACCTCATTTTATAGATTCTACTAGATTCTACCAAGGGATAGGATTGAACTACTTGTCGCGACATTCAGGTGTACTTAATCCTCCTAATAGTTTTAGGAATAATTCAATTAGGAAGTCTTGTTAGTCTTCGGATTAAGCTAATATAGAATCATTATCCGAGGCTAATTAACATAAACTCGCTCATATTTGTAAAATCGTGAAATACAATGGATCATTACTTAAGTGTTATTCCCCTTGTATCCTACCGGAATCGTCAAAACACAGATCCGCGGTCGTTTATCTAAAATGTTGATCGTGGTCAACTCTAGCCTTATTTTTAGTCAAAATTTTCATTTTCTTGGCTATCATGTTCGGACTTTGGTTTTGGGATTTGGAATAGGTCCGTTTTGCTATTTGGAACTTGTCTGCAAAATTTGGTGTAATTCAGAGTTGGTTTGATAGAATTCGGATTTTGCAAAATTGAGATTTAGACCTCAAATTGAGGTCTGATTTAGAAACAAATTACATAACCGGGCTCGGAGTGAATGGGTGATCGGGTTTTGGTCCGAATCTCGGGTTTTGACCAAACTTGCTCATATTTGTAAAATCGTGAAATACATTGGATCGTTACTTGAGTGTTATTCCCATTGTATCCATGCTTGTAGTCGTTGATCATTTCACTTGCTTTCTAGATTAGTTTACATTTTCGTATTAGTTATAATATTTTCTCAAAACCCTTTATTAGTGTTTGGTTTAGCATAATAAGCGATAATTCTCTTACTTGCCTAATCACCTACATATTGTTCTCTGTGGGATTCGACCTGACTCATAGTTAGGTATATTATATTGCATGTGAACGTGACCGCTTACACTTTGAGGAGTGGATTTAGACGTCATCAAAATTAGCGTTTGTTATCGGGGAAATTACTCTTGTTTAGTTTTTCTTAAGGGATGAGTCTTGTTTAGTTTTTCTCTTTCTTAAAGAATTAGTCTTGTTTAGTTTTTCTCTTTTAAGCAAATAAAAAAAATAAAAACTAGTGCTAATATGCTAGAAATAAAATATCACCAATAAACTACAAAATATTTAATTAATACTACAAGTAAAGAGAGTAACAGAATACTAAAAAAAACTAGTGCTAACATGATAGAAATATACTACAAAATATCACCAGTAAACTAGAAAAGCTAATCAATTTGTCAAGTTCACAAAATAGTCATGCTTCACATACATCCATCACACATAAATGACCAACCCCAATGGAAAGTATTGCACTATCCTCAGCGCAACTAAACAAGGTAAAATGGTGATAGGTGCTCCCTGAAATCCGTATTACTGGAAGCTGGAGGTGGAGGGAAACGTAAGCTCCAAATCCTCCTCATCTGAGTCATATGTACCACAGAATGAACTCGGCTTTTGCATCATTTTGGTTAGGAAATTGCTCTTCTTATTCTCATGCTCCTTTAACTTTAGCTGCTGCCTCTCAATCTTTCCTTGCCTCTGGCTCATGTCCTCCAACCTGCTTTTGATTGTTTTTTGCTCATTAACTAAATCACTCGGAGATGGCGTGTCACCGGCCCCAATAGAAGTGCCCTCCCCAGACTGACCAGAAGGAAGGTCAGCTACAAGTCAGTGAATGTGTGTATCGACGCCATAGATTTGACTAGAGAGATGGCGCATAGTGGGAGGTTCGAAAGGAAGTGGTCCAATGGAGTCATATGGCCCTGCTGCAGTTGTGGAAGAACCATTGGGCCCAGTGGTAGTCTCGATAAACTGCCCAAATGAAGGAAATGATACATCAATCCTCCTCTTCTTTCGCCCGTCACTTGGTCCCTTTCTGAGCAATGGATAAATTGTCTTGTCTAGGCCCTTCTCAGAATCATTTGGGTCTTTTAGCACCCCAGCATCATGGCACAACTAAATAATCAATGATGGAAATAATAAACTCTTAGACCTCCTGTTACATGCTTCCTCAATCTCACTCACCATATGCTAGCCCGCGTTCACAGATGTACTAAAAGCACACTTTGGCCTTCCTAATGTTGACAACGCGGCATACAAAGCCAGAGCAAAGAAGAGAGGAAGCTAGTGGTTGGTGGAAAAGCTTCATGGCGGGGTAATCCCGACTTGGGAAAGATTGCACAAAGTGGTAGAGTCTTCTGAATTTACAGTCGAAGCCAAGACTTGGCTGTCCATTATTGGTGCCAGAATCATGTCATCTAGACATGAGTCCGAGGTGACGCCTGACAAGGCGTTGATGATTGCTGCTATTATGAATGACTTACAAGTGAACGTGGACCAGCATAGGGTGAGTCAGATTGAGGAAGCATGTAACGGTGGTCTAAGAGTCCATTCTTTTCATCATTGATTATTCAATTGTGCTATGATGCTGGGGTGCTAAAAGACCCAAGTGATTATGAGAAGGGCCCAAACAAGGCAATTTATCCATTGCTCAGAAAGGCACCAAGTGGCGGGCAGAAGAAGGGGAGGATTGATGCATCACCTCCTTCATTTGGGCAGTTTACCGAGACTACCAATAGGCCATATGGTTCTTCCACAGCTACATCGAGGCCATATGACTCCATTAGACCGCTTCCTTTCGGACCTCCCGCTATCCGCCATCTCTCCAGTCAAATCTATGCCGTCGATGCACACGATCGCTCACTTGTAGCTAGCCTTCCTTGTGGTCCGTCTGAGAGGGCACTTCTATTGGGACTGGTAACACGCCATCTCTGAGTGATTTAGTTAATGAGCAAAAAGCAATCAAAAGCAGGTTGGAGGACATGAGCAAGAGGCAAGGAAAGATTGAGAGGCAGCTGCTAAAGTTCAAGGAGCATGAGAAAAAGAAGAGCAAATTCCTTACCAAGATGATGCAAAATCTGAGTTCATTTTGTGGTACACATGACTCAGATGAGGAGGATTTGGAGCTTACATTTACCTCCACCTCCAGCTCCGAGTGATACCGATTTCAGAGAGCACCTCTCATAATTTTACCTTGTTTTGTTTAGTTGCGCTGAGGACAGTGCAAAACTTTCTGTTGGGGGTGGCTCATCTATATGTGATGGATGTATGTAGAACATGACTATTTTGTGAACTTGACAGATTGGTTAGCTTTTGTAGTTTATTGGTAATATTTTGTAGTTTATTTCTAACATGTTAGCACTAGTTTTTATTTTTTATTTTTTTTGTTACTCTCTTTACTTGTAGTAGTATTAATTAAATATTTTGTAGTTTACTGGAGATATTTTGTAGTTTATTTCTAGCATGTTAGCACTAGTTTATACTTTTTTTATTTTGTTACTCTCTTTACTTAAAGTAGTATTAATTAAACTCCTTGACTTTTCTTCATGCCGCGGTTCTTTTCCAAGGAAATAATTTGTGTTGAACCAGGTGACTTTTCCCTATGATGGATGGCGTGACAACTCTTAAGGGATTAGTTCAAACTCCTTGGTACCACATATTGTTTCCTGTGGGATTCGACCCCGACTCATAGTTAGGTATATTATATTGCATGCGAACCTGTCCGCTTGATCTTTGAGGAGTGGGTTTGGACGTTATCAATATACATTTGAGCTTGAGTTTAATTCTAGAATCTTTTTTGTTCTCAAAAGATATGTTATTCCTTCCCTTCCGGAGGGCCCATCAAAAACCAACTTCCTCTACTTATCCAGCTTGCAAAGTAAAATAGTTGCCGGCTACTTAAGCCACAAAATGCAAATACAAACGGCTGAAGAGAACAGAGCAAGGATGATCTGCCAAAGATTACAAAGCATTTCTATGCTAATTTACAAAACCAAATTACTTCCCCGGCTACGAATTTATGTTCAGATGGCTGTACATGCCAGTGAGAGAAGCAATAAAAATAATTTTTGATTGTTAGTAAAAAAATGTTTTTAGAATGAAGTCATAAAGAAGTCCTATGACTCCGGAAGAACGCAAGAGATCACATGGTTTTTCACATTATGATACAACGCTTCAGCATTAATATTGAATACTTGCAACGAAACTAGTAAAGAAATTTCAACGCCTAAATTGCCAAAAAAAAAAAGGCTTTTTTTAGTGAGGCCTGATATTACAACTGATCCAACTAAAACAATATACTACATAGAAGCACAGCAACTGAAATCCCATAATTCCAATAACTGAAGAAATGAAAGAGGAAAAAATATAAATCAACTACTCCTCAATATCAAACAAGTTTGAATTCATTATATAAATCCATTCCTCTCAATCAGACCCATTTCATTCAGATACTAAATAATTTATCTTTTATATAAATCATCTAAAATATTTATTCCGGGCTCGTTACATTCCAGTAACACAAATTAAAAATTCTCGAAAAGTAAAATCACATATGCATAATACTTATCAATCGGTCTCAATTACAACGTAGCTGGGGTTGACTATATAAATATCATATATTCATTCCGCTCCATTCAGACCCATTATATAACAAAACTAAACAATTTGCATTTAACACAATTACGAGCTCTTAATCTGAAAAATGTTTTTTTTTAAATGAAAGAGGAAAAAACTCAACAAATCAAAGTCAATCCACTAAGCTTCTATACAAACAAGATGGGGTCGACTATATAAATACATCATATCTATTCAGCTCAATTTGGACACATTTCATTTCACTACAAAACAATTTATCTTCAAACACCAAAATCATTCAATCAGACGCCTTAATGCAAAACTAGTTGGCTCATTATACAAATCCTCTATATCCATATCGATACTAATTATTTTTTCCTTTTTAACATAAATTAAGAGCTTCATATAACTATACGAATAGATCAAAGAGTGATGCTGGACGAAAACATACTCGGAAGGAACGAGAGAAGACCGGAGAGTGTTGAGAGGGCAGGGATTAATGGCGAAACGCCTTCCCTCACGTCTCAAAGCAGCCATCGCCATTGTGAGATCTGATGATTCGATCAAATCGCTTCTTCTTCTTCTTCTTCCTCCTGATTGAGATCGACAACTTTCGCTAGGGTTTTCAATGTCCTGAAATGACAGACTCAAAAGGGAGTGTACAGTTTCCCAAAGTCGATGTTTCAAGCAAACGACGCCGTAGTATGTTGATCGACTTTTTTGCAGATTCCGCAATAATAAAAATTAGATTCATTCTAAAAGAAATTGTTATTTTCATTATTATTTTAATATTTAGGATTTAAAATCAAATAAAAATCTTTTACTGAATTCTTTTCTTATTTGATCAATACAGAGAATTTTAATATTTAAGTCTTTAGAAAAAATTAAGGTTTTACCTTATAAATTAATAGAATTTAAACACTAATCTCATTGTAGAATCTCATTATTTTTTCGCCCCAATTTATTGATCTTAAAAAGTGAATTGTCTTTTTCTTTATTTTTTTTTTGTTTTCCGCTTAGGGGGATAATTAATTTTCAGTATAATGCTAGGACATAGGAGGCATAATTTTATTTAAAAACAATTGATTAAATATAGAAAGAAAAAACTACAATCATGGTTTCAAATCTCACCTTCACCCTTCATAAAACAAATTCAACTTCGCCAATGAAAAGGCGAGGAGCTTGATAAGATAGTAATAATTATACAAATTAATATATATTTTGTATAACAATATAAATATTTAGTCAAGATAGTCATACAATATATATATATATATATATATATATATATTATAAAAGCACGAATAATTTATGTTAAATGTTGAACGACTAAAATATTCTTAAAACATTGATCGACTTTTATGCCCCTAAATATTTGTATAGTTTAAGGATGTAATTGTAATCATATTACTCAATGATGAATTCTTTTTCGATTTAAATTACACATACATCGACCCTATAAACATGATCCTACTTGAATTAGAAAAGCACATTAATAATTTTCTTTTAAAAATTAAAGTGTCTTACGTAATTTACTACAACATATGTTGTAGGTTGAATTTTAACTTATGATCAAATTTTAAATGATTTACTGGTTTATAAAACTTAAAAGAAAAACTATAACACTTATTAATGGTACTTATTTTTTTCTATATCTTCTCCAATTGAGAACGTATATATTTATATCTACAACTATCTATTTCTATTTATATATTTATATTATTATACATCTATCTATCTATATCTATATCTATATCTATATTTATCTATCTTCTATTATTATAAAAGCACGAATGTTGGATCAGTAAATATTGAACGACAAAAATATCCCTGAAATATTGACCGACTTTTATACCCTTAAAGTGAATTATTTCTTCAAAAAATAATAGAATATGGGATAAAATTGTAACATTTAGTACCTAAAATATAGGAGTCTAAAACCAACTAATATTAAAAAATTTTAAAATCATAAAATAACGTGAATCAAATTATAGTGCCTAAAATAAAGGAATTAGTTACCAACTAATAATAGAAATTCTTAAAGCCACTTGTCATTGGAAAACACGAAAAAGAATTTCTTAAGCCACAACATAACGTAATATTCCAATGTCACTCTAAGTCTTCAACTCCTTGTTTAAACACATGAAAGAATATCTAAAAGAAACAAAAAGTTAGAGTAAGCTTAAACGTGTAAACTATATAATTAGCAACCTATCTTATTTTAGCTTCAAAATTAGAGGTAGTTTTTAAATAGATTTTGATATTTTATTATACCAAAATAATCTATAAATTTATGTAGGAGTAAATAAATAAGGGTAAATTGTTATGATTAGGAAATTATTTCCTTTTTTCCCAAAGAGGGGTCCTTCTAATTCAAATATTGACCAATTTTATATACCCATCAAAATTGAATTATTTCATCAAAAAGAAATATAATTTGGGATATAACATTTGATTCGGTAGGTATGACGATCTTTTAATATATACACTAATTTGCAACTCAGAACGCTAAATCTCAATTGATGATTACTCATAATAAATCAATTACTTTCAAAGATGTTTTAATATATACATATCATGACCCAAAATTCCACCACAGGAGTCGTGATGGCATCTAGTCTCCAAGACTAGGTAAGCCAATTTCCATTACATTTTTGAAACCATTTTTTTTAATTAAATAAGTTATTAAAACTAACAGCGGAATAATTATGAATATACAACCTCCTAAGACTGGTAGTACTAAGTCACGAACTCTAACTGAATACATAGAATGATCACGAGGACCGAATATACAATATTGTTTGATTACAAGTTAACAGTACAATGAAATGAAAAGACTCCAAGGGACAACGACGACCAAGCAGCTCTACCTTGAATCCTTACGATCCCGTTTTAACTCTGCTCAAGTCCGTTATCTTCAATACCTGGCTCTACACAAAAATGTGCATAAGTATAGTATGAGTACGTCACGGTCGGTACCCAGTAAGTATCAAGACTAACCTCAATAGAGTAGAGACGAGGTACAGTCAAGACACTCACTAGTCTAATAACTCGTGCAATATAATATACAAAATAATAGGAAACAAATAACAATAGGGTAACATGAAACAACCAGTGATATGCACTCCAGACGACAAGAATACCATTAATATCGCTCAATAATTAATAAGTACAATTACACCCAATTAAATCAATTCCTTCAAATAAATGTCTTTCACATATAATTCTTCCAAATAATTCTCTTTCAAACATAATTTTCTCAAATAATTATTTTTCAAATATAATTCTTTCAATAAATCTTTTCAAATATAATTTCCTTAAATAAATATCTTTCTAATACAATTCTTTCCTATAATATTTTCTAAGTAAAAATCCTTCCAAATAAATATTTTGAATATAATTCTTTCAAATAAAAAGTCACCGTGTGACACCTCATTTCATAATCATAAAAATATGGGTCTCAACTCATTTTTATATTTTTCGTAAACACGGGTCTCAACTCATTTTCATGTTTCCACGGCACCTAGTGCCCATAATTAAATCATTATATTTTTCCGGCACCCCGTGCCCTCATTTCATATCACAACTGCACGGACAATTCACGTGCCAATTATCATTATCATTTTATCACAGCACCTCGTACCCACATTTCATATCACAACTGCATGGACAATTCACGTGCCAAATATTCTCATTATTTACTCACGGCACCTCATGCCCATATTTCATTTTATAATCCACCTGGAAATAGCCACATGCTCTCAATTTTAACATAAATCAGATTGTTATCAATTTACCAACAACATGACAAGTTGCACAAAGTATAAAAATAAACACAAGAAAATCACAACATCACATGAAAATTATCAACACCACAACCCCACATCATCACATATCGTCCCTAACAATAGCCACCTATATCGCTCCTATTGCCACCCGTATCACTTCTATATCCACCCCTATCGCTCCGCCCAGACAATATCAATAGCCACCCTTATCACTCCTATAGCCACCCTTATCGCTCCGCCCAGATAATATTCTAACAAACACAACAACAGTAAAATGCCACCCTTATACCCACATAATATCAATGGTGAAATGCCACCTTTATCTCCCCAAAATAATAACTCACACAACACAATAATTTACACGGAAAATTAACACGGCAATATAATAAAATCAATTCATATCACAATTTGCCCAATGGCCACAACCAAATTTTAAAGATATAACAAAATTAATTAATTTCACAACAAATAGCCTAAGGCTTCACACAATGTATATAACACCCAAAAATAATCAATAGAGATAGAAAAATAATCAACATAGGGCACACCTTCATTAAATCCAAATTTAGATAATTATATTAACACCTCTTCTTAAGTTCATTTAATTAATTATTTGCAGAGGAAAAATCCATAATAAAATTAAATCCCACGAATATCAAACTCACGGAATTCACATAAATATACAGGCAACATGCACATCAAATCGTCATATAAAAATAAATTCAATAAATGCGAATTGAAGCATGGCAAATAGATGACTAAATAAATGCCAACAATTATCCAATTTACTACACAATATGCCCAAGACTCTAACTCAATAAAATTGCACATATAAGCCTGAGTACGTACTCGCCACCTCGCGTACACAGCTTTTCACATTTCACAAATGGCACATAAGACTCGATGTCTAAGGAGTAATTCCCCCACTCGAGGTTAGGCAAGACACTTACCTTTTTGAAGTTATGCCGATATTCCAAAATCGCCTTCTTGCTTGAATTGACCTCCGGACAGCTCAAATCTATCCAATTTAATTGTACAACTTCATTAAAATTCATCGAAAATAATTTCGGATAATAATACGTCGACTTAAAATTTTATTCTAAAAAGTCAACAAAAGTCAACGCGGGACCCGCATCTCGGAACCCGACATAATTTTCATGAAATCCGAATATCCATTCCGATACGAGTTCAACCATACCAATTTTATCGAATTCCAATAACAAATCGACCTTTAAATCTTAAATTTAAACCAAGAGAATTTTCTAAATTTTTCAACCCAATTCACTAATTTAGTGATAAAAACAACAATAAATTCATGTAATTTAACCAAAATCAAGTTAGGAATTCTTACTCCAATATTTTTCTTGAAAAACTCTCAAAAAATCGCCTCACCCGAGCCTCCTTGGTCCAAAAATGGAAGAATGACATGAATTTGGACTTTATTCTGCTACCCAGGGGTTTGTTCTTCGCGTTCGCGAGACTCCCCTCGCGTTTGCGATGAACAAATTCTTCAAAAGTCATTTTCAAACTCTTCTCAGACAGCCGCTAGTATAATGGTCATAACTTTTTGTACAAAACTCCAAATGATGAATAGTTTTACTTTCTGAAACCTAGACTCCAAGGGATATAATTTTCATTTGTTACTTATCTCCAAATTCCTTATATATTACCAGATATAAGCTTCCAAAGTTAGCCATGTGCAACAGAGATTTCCAAACTCTTCCCGGACAGCCTATAGTGTATCCACCATACCTTTTTGTACACAATGCCAAATGATAAATGGTTTACCTTTCATAAAACTAGACACAAAGGGCTACACCTTTTATTTTTGGATCATCTCCAAATTCCTTATAAATTGCGAGATATGAGCCTCTAAAA